CGACCCCATGTGGAGTCTCCAAACCCAGCAGATCCCTGCGGTGCGCTCCTGCGCCGCTCCTCCTGGGGGAGCAAGGGGAGTCTCCCCAGATCTGCTGCTTGTTGGGTCCCTGCTGGAGGAGCAGGGGCCCAACTGTGCTGCAGATCATGGTTTATGGCAACCCCGAGCTGAGAGCCCATGCCTGGGCTCCGTCTCTGCAGCTGGCTTCCCCGCTCCAATACCTGGGAGCTCTGCCACACTCAGGCACCCCCAGTCTTTCTGTGTCCTCGAGGGTCCTGAGACCACACTGTCCCACGAGGGTTCCACCCCCCGCTTAGCCATCGGAGTGATGTCCCTTGGCGGAGCCGACTTCTAAAAGTTCCGATTCTGTGCTCCGTGGTTCTATCACTTGCCATAAGCGGCCGATGGAGGCCCCTCCCCCGCCGTCTATCCTCCCCAGTATCGCCTCAGATTCACTTCTCCACATGTCCTACCTTCCAGAAAGTGGTCGCTTTTCTGTTCAGAGAGTTGTCGCTCTTCTTTTCTTCAGTCTCCTGTTGAGTTCGTAGGTGTTCAGAATGGTTTGACCCCTATCCAGCTGAATTCCTGAGAGGAGATGAAATCCAGGTCTCCTACTCCTCCGCCATCTTGCTCTGCCCCCTTCCATAATCATCATTTAATTGTGGCACCTGCCCTTTGAAACGCTGAGCCAGAGGAAAGAAAATACAATAAAACAGCTTACGGAGATTGGTGTGTGAGGACGTGCAGTGGGGCGCTCTTTGAATGTGTATGATAAAGTATCAGAGAGGGGCGCTCTGGGTGGAAACTCCAGGCAGGGGCAGGTGAAGTGTGTTCCAGAATCTCACGGATTCAAAGTCAGGGAGCGTCTTGTCTTAGAACCTCCAGGGCGAGATGGTCCAATAACAAAAGAGAAAAGAGCTGGAGGGACAGCTGCGGATGAAGCTGAGGTTATAGGCAGAAAATGGTTTAGATTTTAGAACCATGCTTCCAACCTGTGGGCTTGAGAATTATTACAAAGGACTTCCCTGTCCCTGTAGATGCCACACATGGAGTAGAATCTAAATCGATAAAAATCTCATATAAACACACACACACGGGGCAATCTGAATTCATTTTAAAGGATTGTCGAATTCATAGTTGCTTTCTCTCCATATGTGTTTTCTAGATCAAACCATTTGAACAAGTTCACTTCCATCCCATGGTGGTCTCATCGATGCCAAAGACGGGTGGTGGCGCTGGGAAAGTCAGACAACAGGGAGAAATGGAAGTGATGCCTACAACTCGCATAAAATGAGGCATGGCCCCCCAAAGTGGCCAGGTTCTGTCCAGGACTGTGGCTTCACAAATGCTTGGGCACCTCAGGGTGGCAAAGAGAAAAAGAGTTCTAGTAATTTACTGGAATATATGCCCAACCAACCTGTTGGTGCTCTAAGAGTGGGTTGTATCAACGCCTACTTGAGAGGTGGGTTTCTGTGGCTCAGAGTCATCATTTACATAGGGGTGCCTCTATTAGGCAAACTACGGTAGTCCTACAGATTCAGAATTGGGGCAGGGCCATTGTCCTACCCTCGCTCAACAAAAAAATTTGTTCACACCTACTATGGGCTACATTACACTGGCAGCAAGAACGGCTAGGTACCCGTGCTCTCTACCAGGACGCCTGATACATTTTCTTGTGAATGAATAGGAGATGTTATCCCCATTCAACCAAGATGGAACGGGGGGTTCAAAGGCATGCAGTGGGTTTGCTCAGATGGTTTAGAGATGGAACCCTGAAGTTAAATGCTCGGTCACACACACACCTTTGTCAGGATGACCGTGCACTTAGCAAAGCTTCTGAAGGAGGCGATGGGGGAGGGCTGGGATTCCGTTGACCCTTGGCCAGTGATTCCCAACCCGAAACTCATGCATGTCTATGGATTCTCAGAAACAAGGACTGACCTCTTAAACTATTCTTACTATTTCACAAAAATGCACGCTTCTTCAGGGCAAGATCTTGCTCTTGGTTTTATCTCCTGATTCTAGCACAGTGCCTGGCAACACATGAATGGGTACTTTTCTTTTGCTTTTTGGCTAAAATTTGTTTCAGCATAGTGATCTTGGCTTTCTCTGGTGAAGAAACACTAATTGTATATAGCTCTGAAGACAATAATAAACATAATTATTTGGATAAGTGGTTCCAAAACTCAGATCCAGTGAAGGGAAACATCTATAGGATAGGAGATCAATATGGAAATCCGAGGGAAGGCATTCAACCCTCTGTGATAGACTGGCATTTCTCCACCCTCCAGAGGCAGTTGGGCACGCCTAGAACACCTAGTCTTCTTCTGAGCTCCAGAGAAGGTTCTGTGAGTCCTCAATCTGCCTGGCACCAGTTTCTCTTTGGGGCCTGATCCAAGAACATGCATTTCGAGATCTTAATATTCTGACCAGCTCCCGACTATTCAGGGAGTGAAAACACCATCGGGTTGATTAAAAACAAACAAACAAAAAACCCAAAAAACTGTGGAGTCCTCATTGCAGTCATTTGGGAGATCGAGAACCACCTCTGAATAGCTGTGTGTCAGCTTACTGTTGAACTGGAACTGGCCCAAAAGGGGTGTTCCTTTTTTCTGTTTTGATTAGTCTTGTATTGTGTCTCTGGCCCCAAAAAGACTTAGTGTATGTGGTGTCATTAACTTCTGATCTTTTGAGATAAGTGCCACCCCATGTGGTTCATGACACTTGGCAGTCCCCAGAAGGGAATAAGGAGCATCTTTTCCCAAGTAATTCTTCTCTCAGAGTGGAATATGTTCTCTTATTCCCTCACTTCCCCTTTCTGGTTGCTGGCATCTATGGATATCCCAGACACTTGCCTTATTCACTTGTGATGATGTCTTCAGAAACGTACCCCTTAGGACCCTGGGCTGCCTTACAAAAGGTGTCAGAGGTGGCTCTGAATAATGATAAGTAGAGGACTTCTGTTCAGGCTCATCATGTGGGTTTCAAGTCAAGTTTAATTTGTATTAGAATAAAAACCTTTCTTGAAACCCAAGGGCCAAGGGATATATGGTGGTGGTGGTTGGGGTGGGGAGTGAAGGTAGCGATGAATTCCCCACCTTTTTTTCCAGATGAGTCTCCCAGGGCAAAAACCAAACCCAGGATAATTTCTCCGTACGTCACTATAATTCATAAATTATTAATATATCATCCAGCTCCATCTGCTCTGAGTCCCATAACCCCACTCCCAAGGCCCTCAAGCTTAGCAAATGGCCCTAGTTTTCTGACGTCGGGAATATCAAAGCCATTAGGAGGAAGTTCCTCAGTATTCTCCCTGATCCTACCCATGTCCCACCACATCTTAAGACCTTATTAACTCTTATGCAGGTTTCTCTCTGGGTAAGAATGCCTACTGGACCCTCATTTCTCCACTGGAGGTTGATAGTCTATCCCTTCCTCCAGGCTCTAGCTCCACTCTGGACCTTCCTCTCCTTGTCATATTGAAGAGTGGTGAGGACCACAGGCTCTGCTGGATTTCAAATCCCAACCCTGCCACAGAGGAGCTGTATGATCTTAGTCAAGACACGAAACTTCTGAGCCTCAGTTGGTTCATTGAGAACATGGGGAATAAGAGGTATCTACCCTCTCTGCCTACTTCAGTAGGGCTCACATTCCTACCGCCTCCCTGACAAAGACCAGCCTAAACCTTCTAACCCTAAAATAGCTGTACCTGCCTGGCCCAAACTTTAAAACAACAAAAATGCCTAAGACCTGGGTTTGCTTTTTTTCCCCCACAATGTGGCCCTGTGTCATTTAAAACTGGGCTGCTTTCCTCATTTTTTTTCTGGTTACTTAAATTCCTTGTGTATCTTCAAAGCCCAGTTCCTTCTTCTCTTTCTCCTCCTCCTTCCTCACTTCTGCCTTTCTTCTTGTCTTTATTTCTGCCCTCCCTTCTAATCTCCTTCATTCTTTGCTACTTCTCTTCCTTCTCTGTTCCTCTCCTCTGCCCACACCTTCTCGTCTCCTCCTTCTCCTCCTGTGGTCGTGCAGGAATGCAGCTGAGACTCGGTGGGGATCGTTTGGTTTGAAAGGCGACATCTGCCCACAACAGAGATGTCCCATCTGAGCCACAGACCAAACATGGGCTATTCAGACCTTTCCTTCAAAGAACTTACAGTCCATGGAGGGCAGGTACCAGGCATGCATGATTATCAGTATATACCCAACACCTGGTGCATAAGACACACCAAAAAAACTTGATGGGATTAATGGGAGGATTGATATTAACATAGCCCTTTCATTGTGCAGCTCCAGAGAGAAAAATCCCTGTCCTCAATTCATTCGGCAAGTTAGTTTTTAAGTCTGAGCTCTAACTCAAGATCCCTGATTTCTTGGCTTCAATTTGGCTGATAGTCATATGGCCCTAGGGCATGCTGCTTTTCTCGGGTCTTTTATATAAGACAGGTAGTTTCCAAATAGTTTGAATATCAGCCTTCAGACATTTCCAGGATTCCTGAATCTGGGCTTAAAAAGCACGATGGACTTTCCAAGAGAACTGGGCAGGGCACAGTCCTGCCTATGTGTCCTTGGACAGGGTTCAAGGTCACCCCAGCTCTCCAGATCCACGTCTATATAACAGACTCAGTCAATCCTATAGTATTTGTGAGCTTTAGCCAGGAGAACCGTGTGGAACTCCCTTGTTCCGGGCTTGGCAAATAGCAAGAGCTCGATTGACTTTCTAAGTGAGTTCTTTCCTCGATGCGGAGGAAGTGGTCCTACCTCATGCCCTTGCTCTAACCACCATTCTCTTGGTTACAGTTCATCAGGAGGGCTCAGAAGATATTGCTAATTTATGCACCATTTGTTCCACGGGAAAATGCATTTGGGAAAATGTGGGCTGCCCACGTACCTCCAATTCAGGCAAGCCAAAGGCAAGCTCTGCCACTGATCCTTCCAGAGAGAATGGGCACTTTATATCTAACACGGGTGATTGCTTTCTCCCTTGGCGTTCATGATGGTATCTATTTGCTTCAATTGAGGAGGCCCCAGAGAGAGATATCACAAATTGAACGATGTAGCTTGATCTGGCAAGAATTTCTGGGGATTCTGGCCTGAATTTCTGTAACTCCCAGTGGTAGGTCAGTGACAGCCCACCTTTACAACATAACATAATGAGGCTTGTTTTAACATTCAGCTTTGCCACCCACTAGCAGAGTGACCTTGGGCCAGTCCTATGACCTTGCCCAGCCTCTCTAGTTCCGTTAAGCATTGTCAGGCAGCCACAAAGAGCTCAGGCTAGCTATGGTGCGAGACAGACCTGGGATTGAATTTCAACTCCATTTTTGTGACTTTGGGCAAACAAATCCATTTCACTGGGCCTCAGTTTCCGGACCTCTATAATGGGGATAACAGTGGTGTCTTCTTAAGAGAGTTGTTTAAACATTCACAGCTAATGTATTGAGAACCTTCTCTGTATAAGGGACTCTTTTCGATATTAACTTACTTCATCTTCATAAAATCCCTCCAAGATGGATCTTATTAGTACCCAGGTAATCTGTATCTCAGTCTCATTACCTGGGTTAAGTCATTCGCCCAGGGTCACACAGCTAATAAGTAAGTGGATCCAAACTCGGAAAGTCCAGAGTCTGTGCGCTTAACCAACTAGGCTGGAGAGTCCAGTGTCTTGAAAGTGCTTAGAGAAGTGGGTCCGGCATCAGAATTTGGATTCAGACCACAGCCTAGAGCGAGCACTCTGTGACCAGAGGGTGGTAACCTTTGTTGGCAGCGTCTCCAGAGAGGCCCCCAGAGCGCGACCCGCACTCACACAGGGCTTGTGCTCTGCCAAGCACCCCCACCCCCCGGAGCCGGAGTAGGGGCTGGTGAGTGCGTTGGATGGTGGCTCACAAACATTTGGGGCTATGAGAGCAGATGTGTGATCTTGCAGAACGCTTCTCGCTTCAGGCCTGTGTGTTGACGTTGATGTCACAGCTGCTCTGAGCACCCCAGATACTGTTAACGAGCTGTTCCAAGCCCAGGCGCGGTGTTTTCTCCCCATATGGTCCACACTGAAGTGCATGGTCTTTCAGACAGGGATGGCACAGAACTCACTCACGCCGAACCTCCGTGCGTGGAAAATCTACTTAGAGGGGCCATGCCCTCCAAGCTGTGCCCTAGTTCTCCTTGCGTCCAGGGATCAGGCTTTCAGCCGTATGCCATTCCTGGGTTCATCCAACAACCCCAGAGAGTGAGGGGGTGGCCACCATATGTGGCAGGCACTGGGTTAGATCCAAGGGATACATAGGTGAATAGAACATTGCCCGTGGCTTCGAGGGACTGAGACTAGCCAGGAAGGGCTGGGGAACAAATCCTATTATGACAGTATTCTAAGCTCTATGATTCAGGTAGTTAGCAAGGACTGCCGGAGTGAAAAGGAATTCGTGAATGAATGAATATAACTGGTGCAGAATCCGTTCCGGGAAGGCGGAATGGCTACTTCATAGAGGCTGAGCAGCTCCTGTGGATCTTCTTACTGACAACAAATCCTGGGTAGCTCATACCACACGGCTCTTTCTTGGTTCAATGAGATGGTCTCACCATGTGTGCCCCAATGCCGGACCTCTCCCTCAGTGACATGTTTTATTTAATTCATCTATAACACGATCAAAGACATTTAGACTCCTCTGCTCCCCTCTGCCTTTCCTGGCACCCCTCCTCTCGTTCCCTTTTGCATTGAGCACGGAGCTGGGCACACACTGGCTTGGAGGTGGGGTGTCCTTTCATCCCAGATGCTTCAGATAAAGACTTGAGGTCCCTACACGTCTTGACAGATCGCAGCAGTTAGCCAAAGTGAAGGAGATGAATTTGAAAGGGGCCCATCGTAAAAACAAACAAACGCCGAGGTCTGAGAAGTGAATGGCAGAGAACAAAAGAGAAGAAAAGAGGGGAGGGGGAGGGGGGACTGGTTAGCCTGGTGATGGGGATTAAGGAGGGCACGTACTGCATGGAGCACTGGGTGTTATACGAAAACAATGGATCGTGGATCACCACATCAAAAACTAATGATGTATTGTATGGTGAGTAACATAACATAATAAAATTTTTAAAAAAAGAAAAATCTAGCAGCTGCTCTTGCACTAAAGAAAAAAAAAAAGGCCACGAAATAAACAAGCAACAGTATATGTGAGGGATTAAAAATCTGGGTAGGGCCATGTAAAAATATCTGTCTTCAGGTATTTTTTTTACATCAGTCTTTATTTAATATTTTCATAATGCAACATGAGTTTCATACTAAGAGAATATATCTCTCCAGTTGAAATAAAAATAGGACATCGGCATGTTCCTTGAACTCAGGCTGAATTCATCCATCACCAGCCTCCAGGTCAGGAAGTGTGGTTGGTGATATGGGCTTGAATGAGAATAGCCTTTATCCCTAGACCCGTTCCTTCGTTCAGTTGTTCAGCTTTGCCATGTTTGGGTCAAATAGAAGTATTTTTTCCTTGCTTTTCTCTAAGAATTGCTGTGCCGATGGTCTTATAGACCTAGTGTAGATTTTAAAGACTCTGGTATTCACCGGGTACTATTCTAAGTGATCTATCTGCATTATCACATTTAGTTTTCATTATAATCCCAGGAGGGAGGCACTCTGCTTAGCCCTATTTTTTTTTTTGAGATGAGAAACTTGGGGTTCAATGTGGATTAAGGACGCTTCCTAGAGGTCCTCCGTAAATTCAGGTTTTATCAACTTCCCAGGGGCGAGGGTAGTCAGAAATTCTTCAATCCTGCACATCTGACTCCCAAAGGCTCTGCGTTCCTGAGCCCTGCACCTCCGAAGGAGACAGTTAAATCTGGTGAGAGCCCAACAGGCACATAAAGGTGTTCAAACCACTTTGGAGAATACATTAGTCCAAGACGAGCACGACTGTGGCTGGGGCTATGGCTTTGATCTGAAGACTTCTGGCTGTCCAGCCATTATGCACTAACAACATCTGATTCTATGTGAAGCTCTCTACTGGGCAAATTCCTCTTGCCTAATAAAAGTGCTTGCCAAGAAAGCTCAAAACCCAGTAGCAATTAATTATTGACAGAGCATGTGAATTAGAGATAAAAGAAAAGTCGTTCTTTCTCCACACACGTGATAGTAAATAAATTTAATTATAGTAGGGGAAGCTAAGGGATCTTCATCTGTATTAAGTTTTATTAGCTGAGACATTTAAAAGCATGTCATCACAAAAAAGAGGTCTTGTGTAATCCTAAATGTACCACTTTGGTGCAGGGCTCAGAAGTGAATAGATTTAATGGAACACATGGTGGCTGATGGCCTGCTGTACCGACAGGTATAACAGGTTTATTGTCGGTTAACTTTGGTCTACATATGCCTACAGCAAATTGACTGTGTAATAGGATCCCGAGCCTCTTTTATCATTGATAGGCCTGCCACATTGGAATTGGGGGACAAATAGCATCAAAACCCCTTTAATGTCTTGAAGCTCCCAAATGGGACGGGGCCATTCTGAAGGTGAACACGGATGGAGGGGTGGGCGTGGAGATGCATCCTAGGGAAGGAAACCGAGAGACATGGTGTGGGATCTACCACTGGCTCACTGGGCAAGCTGGGGAGCAAAGTAAAGAAGAATTCCATTTCTACAGTCAGACCCATGCTTGATGCCTTCACGTTGTATGTCATTTTATTCTGAACTTGAACTTGAGGTGAGCTCTAGGGTTTTACAGAAGAGAATAAGGGGACGTGATTGAACTGGTTCAGGTCACAAAGCCTATCTGTTTCCCTGTCTCTAGGCTTCATTTCTGCATTTGCACAATGGTGCCTTTGGACCAGGTCAAGGCTCAGCATACGTTTTCCTAAAGGGCCAGTGAGTAAATATGCTTGGCTCTGTGTATCTTAAAGTCCCTGTTGCAAATACTCAGCTCTGCTGTTGTAGCACAAAAGCAACCAGGGACAGTACATCAAGGAAGGAGTGTGGCTGTGTTCCAGGGAAAGTTTATTTATGGGCATTGAAATTTGAATTTCATATAATTTTCATGCATCGCAAAATGTTATTATTATTATGTTGGGTCTTTTCCCAACCGTTTAAAGATTAAAAATCAGTCTTAGCTGCGAGCCATACAAAAAAAAAATGAGAGGCAGGGAGTAGTTGGCCAACCCCTGGTCTAGATAATCTTTGAGTTCTTGGGGTGCTCAAACATTTTCCAAAAGCCGCTACGACAATAGTAATTTCCTTGATTTATTAAGCTCTTGCATGTGCCAGATTCTGTGCTAAATGCTTTACAAGTGTTATCTCCCTTAATCCTTCTACTACAGTGCGAAGTAAGTGCGGTCATTACCTCTGTTTCAGAGATTACACAAAACTAATACATAGAGAAATTAAGAGTATATCTCCGTTGAACGTAACTGGTAAGAGATAGGGCTGCAATTGAAACCCAGGTGTATGAGGTTCCCAAGAATGAAGGCAGAAGCCTTATGCTGCCTGTCCTGATAATACCATAATCAGAGCCATAGTGGGACATAGAGTTAAAAAGAATCCTTAGGATTTATCAACGAATTTTATTTTGTAGCTCCCCACGAGGCTCTTTATGTCACACGTTTTGTGTGAATAGTTAAAACAGTTCTGGATGGGAATGACCACTCTCTTTCCTTTCCCTCCCTCTTCCAGAAATGTGATGCCCAAGACTCTGGACGGCCAGGTAACCATGGAGAAGACACCGAGTTACTTTGTGACAAATGAGGCTCCCAAGCGCATCCACGCCATGGCCAAGGATATCAAACTGATCGTGGTGGTGAGGAACCCCGTGACCAGGGCCATCTCTGACTATACCCAGACGCTGTCAAAGAAACCCGAGATCCCCACCTTCGAGGTGCTGGCCTTCAAAAACCGGACCCTAGGGCTGATCGACGCCTCCTGGAGTGCCATTCGAATAGGGATCTATGCTCTGCACCTGGAAAACTGGCTCCAGTATTTCCCCCTCTCCCAAATCCTCTTTGTCAGTGGTGAGCGACTCATAGTGGACCCTGCCGGGGAAATGGCCAAAGTACAGGATTTTCTAGGCCTCAAGCGTGTCGTGACTGAAAAACATTTCTATTTCAACAAAACCAAGGGGTTCCCTTGTCTAAAGAAGCCAGAAGACAGCAGTGCCCCAAGATGCTTAGGCAAGAGCAAAGGTCGGACTCATCCCCGCATCGACCCCGATGTGATCCACAGACTGCAGAAATTCTACAAGCCCTTCAACATGATGTTTTACCAAATGACTGGTCAAGATTTCCAGTGGGAACGGGAAGAGGGTGACAAATGAGGTTAGAGAAGCAGAGGGAAGGCTAGTGAATAGCTAAGGAGGCTCCTTAGCTGAGTCCTGAAATCCCCCCCCACTGGGGTCTGTGGCCTCAGCCTCGCTGGAGTGCCAAGTAGACCCCCTCCTTTGTCCAGCTGGGATTGCTTCCAGCACTGTAGGCTTAGGCAAAGGGATGGATCCCATGGCATCCTCATGGAGGCATTGGGTTTGCCGGGGCAGCAGCATCTGGTTGACCAGATGGCTACCAGGAGCCACTGCTAATTCTTGTCTTCTGCTAATTAATAGAGTCTAAAGACAGGATAAATAGCTGTCAAGGTCAGAGACCGTGCCAGGAATGTTTCTTTAAGTGATTAAAAAAAAAGAGGAAGGAAGGTCTACTTTGGCCACTTTAGAAGCCTGAGTCCTAACCCTGCATCTGGCACAGCCCTCTGCTGTACAAACCTTTGCTTTGGCATCTCTCCAGAATTCTACTTGTGGCTGAGTACTCCAGGACTCCTAGGGAGCAAGGTCCTTTCTCTGAGGTGTCTCTAGCCTTCTCCTTAAAGGTCTCATCCCACAACCCTTTGACATCCCCTCTCCTCACCTTATGAAGGCAGAGGCATGCACGTTCCTCACGAGAAAACAAAAAAACACAAAAATAAAAGCTGACACCCTTGGAAGCCTTCTTTCTGAGAGCCCTCCAAGGAGGGTCCTGGGCTGTGGTGAAGCTTAGCATAGGCCCTCGTGATAGAATCAGGCCTGCATGGCTGTTCTCGGAGCCGTATGATTGCCTTTGAGTTCCGAGCCCTGAGGCTGGTAAAGATAAATGTTATTTCTGGGGGTGAAAAAAGAAGGCCATATCTTTTGGTGGGAGGTCTCCATACGTGAAGACCCTTAGCACCACAGTTCTGAGGAATGCTTTCAGGACGGGCTTTGTCCCTTGGGGTCCTTAGACGGGCAAGGACCAGATAGTTGGCATGTCTTCCATTATGAGTAATCCTGAGCAACACAACCAACAGGGGATCAGTCACCATTCTTGTTTGCCCCACCATGTCCTCCTCATGGTCATCTGATGCTTCACTTACAATCTTCACATATGGCACATTGGGGCAGGGACAGACCCTCCATCTATGGTGGGTCTTCAGATCCAGTCTGCGGATGTGGGGGAGGGCAAGGGCTGTCTGTGGACACCCCTATCAAGGGCTGCTGAACGAAGTGTCCCTTCCCTTTACTCTGATTTGATTAAAAGGCCGCGTTTGACGCCAAGCACTTGTTCACAGATCTCCAAAACCAGGAACTGTTCTAGTAAATTTGGAAATATGTATGAGTGGGGGGAGCTAAGTCTGTTCACCTGTTATTAAACTCATTTCTCCCGCTAAATGAAAATTGTGTTGTTATAAAGCTTAATGCAACCTGATTGATGGGCTTTGATGGTGTGTTTGTATTGGTCACCTCTAACCCCACCCTGACCCTCGAATTCTGGAATGATCCCTCCTCCTCCGGGGTGGCCAGAAAGCCCCAGATTAGAGAATCTTATGGGAGATTCTGTCTTCAGGGCCAGATAATTCTCAAAATAGCACAAAGGAAGTGACTCTGTAAGGAGTGTAGCTTTCTCTCTCTTAACTAACCCTGGCAAGGAATGGACTGATACACTAGACTCAGAAACAACCTTACAAATAATTTTTTGCTGGATAAGAAAGTGGTTTTTGAACCGAAGGCAGCAAATATGCTTTCACCACCAAAGCAAAAGACGATACAGGTAAACACATACAGGCACATACAAACCCATCTCTTTGAAAGAAGAAAATGCATGCTAGTTCAGAACAGTGTTTTGTGGGCTGATGTGGGCCTTGTGGTATGAGCAGAGCAAAGAGTGGGTCTAGCTACCCATCAGGGCAGCTGTGGGGCTTTTTTCAGGCTACAGCTTCCTGACCATCATTCCTGACCACACTTCTGGTGGAATCAGGAGCTCTAGGGTGGAGCTCAGTCACCTATCTTTTCAAAAATATTCTTACGGGAGCTGGGATTGAGAACAGATGGAGGCAAGTCTTGCTTGCTTATTTCTTTGCCCTGTCATTCTCGGCCCTGTCGTCCTTGTAAGCTTTTGTGGGGATTACTCCCAAAAGAAATGGCCCCCAGGGTGTCATGGCTTCCTGGGACAAACATGGTCTCTCTTTTTTGGTTGGCGGGGGGGAGTTCAGTGGGAACTAGGTAAGGGTTAATCTCACAACAGTCCAAGGAGCATCTGACTCTAAGAAGGCTTTAAAGATATTTTTCTACCAGCCAAGAGGGACCATTATACCCTTACCCTCATCTCTTCTAAGCTGGGTGGACACAATTGACTCAGCCCCTCAATTACACTCACTTTCCGCTTTCCATCTCCCTGGCTGTCTCTCCGTCCCCATAAACCCAGAACATCAACACCTTAAGTGCCATTTAAAAAGAAACCTAGTAATTGTGTGTCCTCGAGTAAATATGACAAGCAAATCCGTTTTTAATAGGGTGAGCCGACGGTTCACCAATAGGCCATTCTCACCTGGAAAATAAAAGTGGGGAACCGCCCCTCCCGGCCTTAAAGTATGTATACACTCTTGCATCTAACAGCAGGCTTAAATTCTCTGGAGAAATTGGACAGAAGCCAAAGCCTTGAGAGCTTGAGGGCTTTTATCTTAAGGGTCTATTTGGCGATATGGTTGAAAGCTCATGGTTTGGAAAAGAAAGGCAAACCTGACATGCTTACGGTCTATTTTCTGCAGTGTCTACTCTAGCTTGATCCATATGACTCTGGGAGTGAGCCAGTAAGCCATGTCCCCTTCTTCAGTGGGGAAACTTGACAAAGGAATTATTTCCTATCCAGAAAAGCCAAGTCAACCTGCTAAAATAGAGTCCGGTTAATAATACTTCTGCCCTATTTAAACGTGAGCATTGCAACTCACAGGAGATTGAATTTTGTATTTGATTTCAATTAGCAAAGCATGAATTATATTTAATTTTCTATTCCCCTCTTTTCCCTCGACTGGATGATTCACAGCTCTGGAAACTGCTGCGTGTGGTTCAGAGATGAGAAAAGGAGAATTCATCCCTCCCAATAGTGCAGCTGTCAGTGCTCCCATAGTCATTGCTTCTTGCCAGTATTATTCTGTACCTGAAACGTATGAAAGCCTTGGCCTTGCCACTTAGACCTACCAGCTCAAAGCACAAGAGCAATAATAGCAAAAGCACTCAGCAGCCCCATCTGTCTTCCTTTCGACTGTATATGAAAACCATGAGTTCAGTTTCATCCAATTCCTTACCTTTCCTGTTCGTTCCCATCTGAAAACCCTCAGCCCCCTTACTCCCTAAAGAAAACTAATGCCTCACTGCTGTCAGAAAAGAGGTGGCTGAGGTCTGTCCTTGCCTCTCTCTGCATCTTGGACAAGTGTCGTTGACCATCTAAACCTTACTTTTCATATCTCTAAAATGGGTATATTTAAGCTCTGCCCTCACCTACCACTCAGAGCTTCTGTGATGATCAAAATGAATGAATTGATGGAGGATATTTGAAAAGAATGAAGAGCTTGAATGATGTAATGGATAGTGATGATGGTGATGGTGGTGATGGTGATGATGGTGGTGATGGTGTTGATGATGATGGTGATGATGGTGATGATGGTGATGATGGTGATGGTGATGATGGTGATGTTGGTGATGGTGATGATGGTGATGATGGTGATGGTGATGTTGGTGATGGTGATG